TATGAATCTAAAAACAATATTACAATCATTAGACAACAGAAACTCCTCTTCAATGTAAAACAGTTAATTTTGTCTTCTTATATGTAAGGCTTTGGAGGTTGTTTTAACAAGAAAACAATGTAAAGAAACTTGTTCTGCTTAATTACCATGTGTTTTTGGGTGGAAGACTTCCACCTTTGCCAGTGATGGTGTGACAAGTCTCGACAGATCAGTTAGACTGACCACACCCCATCAGGCTGACCACGCCCCTTCAGACTGACCACACCCCATCAGGCTGACCACGCCCCTTCAGACTGACCACACCCACTCAGACTGACCACACCCACTCAGACTGACCACGCCCCCTCCGACTGACCACACCCCCTCAGACTGATCACACCCCTTCAGACTGACCACACCCACTAAGACTGACCACACCCCTTCAAACTGACCCCACCCCCTCAGACAGTCTGAAGGGTTGTGATCAGAAGTGTGAGCCAAAGTGAAAGCCCCCTCGCCTCCGTTGCTCCCGCTTCCTGATTTCAATCGCCTCTCGTATCTTTTGTATTTATGTTCTTCTGTGTCTGCTTTTTTTGTGTTGTCCCAGTCCATTACGGGATTTTTTCTTTTGCAGAAATCTGTCAGACTGACCTCATCTGGCAACAACAGCTGATCAGAGACACATCACACCATCACTGTCTCTGATGAAGGCAAAAAGTCTACCGCCGAAACATGTGGTCATTAAGCAGAACTAACTTATTTACATGTTTTGTATTATTAAAATAACCTCCTATAACCTCCTGTCTAATTATTCTTGTTGGAATCAGTAGAAATCATGCATACGTTCCGCTGTCTTGATATTGTATTGATATAGTGTTTGATATTCTTGTATTTCTTGCGCTTAAACTGTTCTATTCTCTGATTGTTGATGTGACGGTTGTTTTTTATGAATCGCCGCTCACCAACGACCTCTAAGACCACTGCTGTTGTGATTTATGGCGATACAAAAACAAATGTAGTTGAATTGAATGGGTCACTTCTGAACACTAACCACATTCAAAGCCTGTCTTGACAACTCAAAAACAGAATGAAAACGCCAAACCTCATCGAAATCTACCCTTCCACTCAGCTCTCCGTCACAGCTCTCTGAGAAGCCTGGATCTCTGTCCGTGTGATGTCTCCGGCAAAAAAAAAAACCTCCCCAAAAACATGAAACACGACTTCAACATTTGAGTGACATATTTGAATATTCCCTTTAGCTTGTTTTCTCGTCACAGCCACTGGCCCCTTGCTGGGTTGTCAAATTTCTCCCCGCATCAAGCTCTCTCTTTGTGCTGCGTCTTGTGCCAAAGAAAACCGGAGTCAGGTAAGTGTGAAAGTGACTGTGGCGGTGTAACTCAAAGCAGGCTGCCGTGTTGCGAGGATTCCAGTGGCTGCCAATCCGTGTTGTTGCATTGTTTGATAGTCCTCAGATGTTAGCTCCTCTCCCCCCCCCCCCCCCCCCCCCACCCCTCTCGGCTTTAGGGTTTTTGTTATTTATAGCGGCTTCCTTCCAATCGTGACGCAACAAAGCACAATGGAAAGCAGCGAGGATCGAGGAGGTTTAATGCAACAGACGATGGGATTATGATCATTATAGAGAAACACAAAAGCCGTTGAAGTGAGCGGAGCGACAGGAGTGGGCAGAAATGCACGGTATTCTTGGGTTTCATTAAACTGGCCAGTAGGGGGCGAATGAGCAGAGGTGGGACAACTCAGTTTTGCTCCCATTGAAAACCATGTAAAGTCTGTTTTGGAGTCAAAGGCTCTCCTCCTGTGCGGTGTACGCTTGTTGGAACAGTCTTAATCAGGACTTTTTTAAACAAATATTTGTCAAAAGAGTCTTGATTTCGGGCATTTTTTGATATAAAAACAGAAGAAATTGCTGCGTTTCATTGGGGTGGCCTGCAGGGGGCGCTTATCTGGGAAAGCCTTGATCCACCTCGCCTGCCTCATTCCAGTGATTTTTTCAAAGTGTCCTCCTTTATATGAGACCACAGTTTGAACATGAACAAGCTCTTGTCTTTCTCTATTTGTGCGGTTGCTACAAACGTACACCGCACAAAAAGATGCTTCTTCTTCTACTATATCTCCGTGTATAAACCCGGCAGACTGCACCGCCAGGGCACGTCACGTCCTGTTCCACGTTTGTTATTCGAACCACTGCCCTGACGTCATATGAAACCCAAGAATAGGAGCTGGAGGGTGTGGCGTGTTTATACTGGACCAGCAGGGAATGGAGCCGTTTACACTATGGGGAAAAAACAACTCAAATTCAGGAACTAAAATTCTGGCGGCTCTCTTCAAACCAACTCAATCCTGAAAAATTCCCCCCAAAAGTTTGTTTTCACAGTCACTCACTAAACTGGTATAGAAATAAAAAAACAAAAGTGTACATTATGCTTCCAAACTAAAAGCTGTCAGATTGACTGCTCTGGGATCTTAGAGAAAATGAGATTCTGGTTTTAATCCATCAATGCGCTTCAACGTGCTGTTTTCATCGGGGCTTGTAAGAAATGCCCTTCACCTTTTTACAGAGAAAGTGACCCATAAGTCATGTGACAAACAAAATAAAATAAAATAGATACTAGTCTGTACAATATACAACATAAAATACAATCCTGGACAAAGACATACAATGACAGCTAAAGCAAGCTGATTTCACACTGACAGCAGTAACACATGAACAATCTCAGATACAATCCACATCTGTTTGTACATGCAGAGTATAGCACAATTCATTTTTCAAAATCAGATGTATAAGTAGGGGGTAAAGTCCAGTTCTTCGTGCAGGCCAGGGAAACACGCTGTAACAGTCTTTTTAGTCTGTCTCCTCCGCGGGGCTTTGGGGACGGTTTCAATAACCATGGCCTTCACAGAGTTTGGAGAAATATGTCCAACCTCCTTGTAATGTTTGGCCAATAGAGAGTTCAGACTTTGAGTGCGGATGGCATATTTATACTGATGTAAAAACAGCCTCACGTATGACTGCTCTGGGAGTCCTGGGGTTAACCCTCTCCAGATAAATAGTAATTAGTAATAGTAATAACAAAACAGTAATAATCAGCAACAGCCCTTCAGGTCACAGCAGCAGAGGTGGAGAAGCCTCTGGGTGGAGCAGGACGGTTCACAGCAGCAGAGGTGGAGTAGCCTTTGGGTGGAGCAGGACGGTTCACAGCAGCAGAGGTGGAGTAGCCTCTGGGTGGAGCAGGACGGTTCACAGCAGCAGAGGTGGAGTAGCCTCTGGGTGGAGCAGGACGGTTCACAGCAGCAGAGGTGGAGTAGCCTCTGGGTGGAGCAGGACGGTTCACAGCAGCAGAGGTGGAGTAGCCTCTGGGTGGAGCAGGACGGTTCACAGCACCAGAGGTGGAGTAGCCTCTGGGTGGAGCAGGACGGTTCACAGCAGCAGAGGTGGTGTAGCCTCTGGGTGGAGCAGGACTGTTCACAGCAGCAGAGGTGGTGTAGCCTCTGGGTGGAGCAGGACGGTTCACAGCAGCAGAGGTGGAGTAGCCTCTGGGTGGAGCAGGACGGTTCACAGCAGCAGAGGTGGAGTAGCCTCTGGGTGGAGCAGGACACGTCACAGCAGCAGAGGTGGTGTAGCCTCTGGGTGGAGCAGGACGGTTCACAGCAGCAGAGGTGGTGTAGCCTCTGGGTGGAGCAGGACGGTTCACAGCAGCAGAGGTGGAGTAGCCTCTGGGTGGAGCAGGACTGTTCACAGCAGCAGAGGTGGAGTAGCCTCTGGGTGGAGCAGGACTGTTCACAGCAGCAGAGGTGGAGTAGCCTCTGGGTGGAGCAGGACGGTTCACAGCAGCAGAGGTGGAGTAGCCGCTTGGTTTGGATTATCTCTGCTCTAGTCCAAAGGCAGACGTTGTAGATTTGCAACAGCTTAATTTCTTATTACCTAACTACTCCACATCAATTTTTTTGACTGTTAAATGTTTGTGTCGGAGAACTAAATAAACATGTGATTGCAAAAAGAAGAAGCAGAGGACAGAGAACAAACTGTTTTCACCAAAGTGCTACTACAACAAAGGTCTCTCTGTTTCAGTCTCTTTCCCACTGATTGGATAATATGCTCATTAAATAGACATGCATATCCCACGATAGCTTCATAATTCTTATATACATATTTGTGTCTGGTATTGCTTCCACAAGTGACACTAGGAAAAAACTTTTTCAGTCTGAGACACGTGAGATCCAAACATCTGTTGTTCAGAGATAAATCAAGGCTGAGTGACTGATGACACTTTTGTGCTGAACATAGAACAATGGATTCCACTGCTTTTTAACAATCGTATGTATCTTTGCAGATCGGAAACACATGTGATCCTTTCTTTGTTCATTTTAATTGGAGCAGTTTTGTGTGCGACAAGAGAGATGTTAGTGACAGAACGCTCATTGTGCAGGCTGACAATTACCCAGTCTGTGTGGAGGACACAACGCGGCTGACACACAACGAACGGAAAAGAGTTCACAAAAAAAATTGTTCAAGGAGAAAGTCGGTTTTTTTCCAGCCCAAACCTTGGCTCGGCTTCCAGACAGACATCAGCGAGGCCTGTTTGTTTGTGCGGCTAAATATAGACGCTGCCAACTCACTGTGAACTGACCACGGCTTTATCTTCTGCGGCTTCGAAAATGCAAAGGCAACAAGGCACCTGTCTCCATCACCAGGCCACGGTTTGGGTTATTCTTTGAACCTTCATGGCATTTAGAAAGTCTAAGAATGTGAAATTACATAGTTAATCCTATTTAATTATTCTTTATGTGTATTTTTACTGCACTCCTAAATGACTATTGCGTATACTTCTGTGTATCTATGCTTGCAAATAAGGATTACCTACGGACCCACATAACCAACCATCATCCAAAATCTCTTTTAATGTCCATTTCTGCTCACTATCACTTGCCCTTGTGCACTTTTTGATGCGCAGATATCAGCACAGGGCTCGCTCTTATTTTCCAAGCAGTGGGCTGATAATATCTCATGAGAAGTTTGGCCCTCCTCCTCCTGTCTGCCTTCCCTCTTTGATCTCAGCTTTGGATCCTTTCTTCCCGTAAGCCTTCAACGATCCGACCAAATCCCTCCTCTCCTCCCCAGTCACGCTGCACCTCTGTCGAGCACGCCACCCCACCATGCCCCCTCAACTTAAAGAAGCAATATGTAAGATTTTCATGTCAAATCATCATTAAATGGCCCTAATCTGTCATCATTAAAGGGCCATAATCTGTCATCATTAAAGGGCCATAATCTGTCCAAAGGCACTAAGAAAACATGCTCATTTCCAATACTTCTTTAACTGATAACAGTAGTTCAGAGATATTTGAAATTCTCAATCTTGTTATTGTTTTCATTTCGATGTCCCGCCCTCCACCGTTTCACCAATCAGAAAGTCTGTGATCCGGGCGCCAGAACTCACCGTGTGGAGCTAATCTCACTGGTAAAGTACCATGTGGCGCAGAACTAAAAAAGGTCTCGTTATGATTCTCAAATCATTAACGACAAAACAAGGAATAAAACCAGGATTTCTATCTTTGTGAAAAAGGTGTTGTTATAGATTTGTTGTTGACAAAACTCTTGTCTATTCAGCTGTTATGGTCCCAGCTGGATTCGTCTGCATATCTGGCAACCTGAGTCAGGGAGAGTGGGAGAGGCTGCAGTACCACTTTTAGACCACATTTTTACAGACTGCTCCTTTAACTCCTTCTCCCTACACAACCGTCATCGCATGTGTATTGTCTTTCTATTCTTTTCACAAGTCAAGGGCAGCATTAGAATGACGATCACAGCTTTCTGCTCGTCTGTGCCAAGGCGGGAGGAGCAGAGCTTTGACAAAAACTGTTAAAATTCAAGTAGCAGATGCTGGAGTCGGAGCCAAAGGCATGGGAGGCTCTTGTGTGCACTTTAGGAGAAATCAAAGATGTCTTGTAAATTGGTCAGATTGAGCCATTTGCATGCCCGGCGTTGTCTTTCCGCGGCTCATGCGTGTGAAGGCCGCCCACTTCTTGTCGATGACGGAGCTCGAAAAACATATGTGCAACGTACAAATCTCGCTATTGCTTCCAGAGAAGAGGGATCAGAGAGAGATGGTGTAAAGCAGCCGACTCCAGGACAGTTTTTCAATGTGCAAAACACCAAAGGGCTGTGGGTTAAAACTAGAACTCCAAATTGACGGCTTTTAATAACTCAGCTAATATTTGTGATCTTTACAAACAGATACTGAGAAAGTCACTGTTTATTTTCTTAGTTATCTAAAAAAATTTCTTTAAATAATCCTTTAATTTTGAAATTAGTTCTTCTTTTATCTCCAAGAGTTGTCAATTTGACTGCTGCATTCAATTAAGAATCAAAATTCTTGGGTGATACAATTTTTCTCAAGATACAGTGGGGCAAAAAAGTATTTAGTCAGCCACCGATTGTGCAAGTTCTCCCACTTAAAATAATGACAGAGGTCTGTAATTTTCATCATAGGTTCACTTCAACTGTGAGAGACAGAATGTGAAAATAAATCCAGGAATTTACATTGTAGGATTTTTAAAGAATTTATTTGTAAATTATGGCCAAGACCAAAGAGCTGTAGAAGGACACCAGGAAAAGAATTGTAGACCTGCACCAGACTGGGAAGAGTGAATCTACAACAGGCAAGCAGCTTGGTGTGAACAAATCAACTGTGGGAGCAATTATCAGAAAATGGAAGACATACAAGACCACTGATCATCTCCCTCAATCTGGGGCTCCACGCAAGATCTCATCCCGTGGGGTCAAAATGATCATGAGAACCACACGGGGGGACCTGGTGAATGACCTGCAGAGAGCTGGGACCAAAGTAACAAAGGTTACCATCAGTAACACACTACGACGACAGGGAATCAAATCCTGCAGTGCCAGACGTGTCCCCCTGCTGAAGCCAGTGCATGTCCAGGCCCGTCTGAAGTTTGCCAGAGAGCACATGGATGATACAGCAGAGGATTGGGAGAATGTCATGTGGTCAGATGAAACCAAAGTACAACTGTTTGGTATAAACTCAACTCGTCGTGTTTGGAGGAAGAAGAATACTGAGTTGCATCCCAAGAACACCATACGGGGGTGGAAACGTCATGCTTTGGGGCTGTTTTTCTGCTAAGGGGACAGGACGACTGATCCGTGTTAAGGAAAGAATGAATGGGGCCATGTATCGTGAGATTTTGAGACAAAACCTCCTTCCATCAGTGAGAGCTTTGAAGATGAATCGTGGCTGGGTCTTCCAGCATGACAATGATCCCAAACACACGGCCCGGGCAACGAAGGAGCGGCTCCGTAAGAAGTATTTGAAAGTCCTGGAGAGGCCTAGCCAGTCTCCAGACCTCAACCCCAGTGAACATCTGTGGAGGGAGTTGAAAGTCCGTGTTCACTGCTCTCGAGAAGATCTGCATGGAGGAATGGACCAAAATACCATCTACTGTGTGTGCAAATCCGGTAAAGACCTAATAGTAATCGTTTGACCTCTGTTATTGTCAACAAAGGTTATATTACCAAGTACTGAGTTGAATTTTTTTTTTATTGACTAAATACTTATTTTCCACCATGTTTTACAAATACATTCTTTAAAAATCCTACAATGTGAATTCCTGGATTTTTTTCCACATTCTGTCTCTCACAGTTGAAGTGAACCTATGATGAAGATTACAGACCTCTGTCATTATTTTAAGTGGGAGAACTTGCACAATCAGTGGCTGACTAAATACTTTTTTGCCCCACTGTATGCCTGAAAAAAAGTTTAAAAAGTTGAATGTACGTTTCAACTGTATATTTTAAAGAATAATGGGGGGACAGTGGCTCAGTTGGTAGAGCATTGACCTTTGGGCCCATAGGTTGTGGGTTTGAGCCCACCACGAGACCATCTCCGCCGACTCCCACTGATGCCTGCTGTTGTTGTGTCCTTGGGCAAGACACTTAACCCACTTTGCCTATAAGCAGCGCAGAAGTGATATTTGCTGCTTGCCTTCATGTGTTCGTGTATATTTCCCCATTGTTGGATGAGTAAAGGACCTTCTTCTTCTTCTTCTAATACTAAAAAAATAAGTACAATCTATAACTTTAGCATAGTAAAACATTTGTCATTATTTAATATCTATATTATCCCATATTGGCCTAAACAGAGATGATTGAAGCAAGTTGTGATAAAGGGAGTTTTGTTCCGCTGTTGTGACACTGGGAAAAGTGCTGGATTAAAAAAGCTGAAACTATATTTTAAATGAAACTAATTTAAATTTACAATCTTGCTTTTGAGTCTGTGCTGAGAAAACCAAAGCCTTCATCATCTCTGGGCCGTGCTCTGAACAAAGAACCATGCACCGTGGACACTCAAAAACACACACGCTGTTGTCACGGCGACGTTTACTGCACCGGGAGAATTAAAAGGATGTTAAGCCTGTCACAAACTCACATCTGTCCTCCTCAAACTTAATTAGGTTTTAGTAGAACAGATGCGACAGTCCCCGAGGTCAGTTTGTCCCTGGGCCAGATCCAAACCAGATCCAAACCAGATCCAAACCAGATCCAAACCAGATCCAAACCAGATCCAACCAGACCCAACCAGATTCAAACCTGCAGTGATAAGGGTCCCTGTGCTCCTCAGAGTCCCAGCAGGAGGCAGTCCCTGTGCTCCTCAGAGTCCCAGCAGGAGGCCAGTCCCTGTGCTCCTCAGAGTCCCAGCAGGAGGCCAGTCCCTGTGCTCCTCAGAGTCCCAATAGGAGGCCAGTCCCTGTGCTCCTCAGAGTCCCAGCAGGATGCCAGTCCCTGTGCTCCTCAGAGTCCCAGCAGGATGCCAGTCCCTGTGCCAACATGTCTCAGATGTATTTTGAGGCCATGAAGAGACTTGTAACAATCAGAGCTGTTTTAAAGTCTATTCTCTGAGCCACAGGAAGCAGAGACCTTAGAACAGGACTAATGTGATCCTACTTCCTGGTTCTAGTCCGGACTAAGGCTGCAGTGTTTTGATTGGGTAGTACATCCCTCCTCATTTTTAAGATCCATGCCGCCTGTGTGTAAACAAATAGTAAATTAGTACATAGTATCTTTTCCGATAAAGAGTCTTGAAAAAAATATGTGTGCACAGCTCTAAATCCCAACAGCTTTCCTCTCGGAGGACTTTACAATGTTGTCGATTCAGCAGCAACAGATCAGAGAATCAACCAGTTTGATCACAGGCAACGCAATAACAACAAACACATTGGAGCCATTGGTTCATAGAGAGCCATGAGATAGACAATGGGACAGTGGGTGAATAGCAATGGACAGACTACAGCTGAAATCATAATGAAGACAAACAAAGATGGAGAGACAGCACTTTCTGAGAGAAATGTGACAAACAATGAATCAAAAATGTATCTCTCGGTGTTCTGCCTTGATCCTTGGAGCGGCTGTTTGTTGCCTGGAGCATTACGCCCCTGGTGTGCTTGACTCAGGGCGAACTGGTCCCATCTGTGGCGGCTCGGACAAAGCGACGCACAAATACTCCTACAGATGAGGACAGAACGAAAGCACCACTAGAGGGTTCTATCCAGGTCGGCGGCAGAGGACTGGGAAGTGACTACACTTTGGACCAGAGCAGAGAAAATGGTCCGAACCAAGCGGCTGCTCCATCTCCATCTGCTGTTGTATTTTATTATGACTATTGTTAGCTTTTTAGAAAAATCAATATCTATCTATATACATAGATGGAAGGGTGGTAGTGCTATTGTTAGCCGCTACTGTGCTGCACAGTGCAAAACTCACATAAAACAATCTACAAAAAATCAGTACAAAAAAACCTTGGGAGGAACAGATTTTGCTGCAATTAATTCTGTTACTACTACTGCTGCTACTACTACTGCTACTGCTGCTACTGCTACTGCTGCTACTACTGCTACTACTGCTAAGTAAGTAAGCAAGTAATCTTTATTTATACACCGCCTTTCACAGATCAGAGTCAAAAAGCGGTTTACAATTGTAATTTTTTGGGCATTTTTCCTCTCACTCCACACAGAGATGGGAGCGGGGCCAGTACACGAGGCACAGACATATTGTACATATTTTTAGTGGTAGGGGACACCGGAGTACCCGGAGGAAACCTACGCAGACAAGGGGAGAACATGCAAACTCCACTCAGAACTCCCTAGTCC